CCTAGGGAACGTATGGATTTGTCAGTTAAAAACAGAGTAGGGGAGTTAGTAGATGGGGAGAGGGAGGTATTAGGCAGATGGTGAGAATATTTTGAGGAACTTTTTAAATGTTGAGGAAGAAAGGGAGGCGGTAATTTCATGCACTGGCCAGGGAGGTATACCATCTTTTAGGAGTGAAGAAGAGCAGAATGTAAGTGTGGGGGAGGTACGTGAGGCATTACGTAGAATGAAAGGGGATAAAGCAGCTGGAACTGATGGGATCATGACAGAAATGTTAATGCAGGGGGGGATAGTGTTAGAGTGTCTGGTACTTTTGTTTAATAAATGTATTAAAGAGGGGAAGGTACCTAGGGATGGGCAGAGAGCATGTATAGTCCCTTTATATAAAGGGAAGGGGACAAAAGAGAGATTGTAAAAATTATAGAGGAATAAGTTCGAGTATACCAGGAAAAGTGTACGGTAGGGTTATTGACAGAATTAGAGGTAAGACAGAATGTAGGATTGCGGATGAGCAAGGAGGTTTCAGAGTGGGTAGGGGATGTGTGGATCAAGTGTTTACATTGAAATATATATGTGAACAGTATTTAGATAAAGGTAGGGAAGTTTTTATTGCATTTATGGATTTAGAAAAGGCATATGATAGTGGATAGGGGAGCAATGTGGCAGATGTTGCAAGTATATGGAATAGGTGGTAAGTTACTAAATGCTGTAAAGAGTTTTTATGAGGATAGTGAGGCTCAGGTTAGGGTGTGTAGAAGAGAGGGAGACTATTTCACGGTAAAAGTAGGTCTTAGACAGGGATGTGTAATGTCACCATGGTTGTTTAATATATTTATAGATGGGGTTGTAAAAGAAGTAAATGCTAGGGTGTTCGGGAGAGGGGTGGGATTAAATTATGGGGAATCAAATACAAAATGGGAATTGAGAGTTACTTTTTGCTGATGATACTGTACTTATGGGAGATTCTAAAAAAAATTGCAAAGGTTAGTTGATGAGTTTGGGAGTGTGTGTAAAGGTAGAAAGTTGAAAGTGAACATAGAAAAGAGTAAGGTGATGAGGGTATCAAATGATTTAGATAAAGAAAAATTTGATATCAAATTGGGGAGGAGGATATGGAAGAAGTGAATGTTTTCAGATACTTGGAAGTTGACATGTCGGCAGATGGATTTATGAAGGATGAGGGTAATCATAGAATTGATGAAGGAAAAAAGGTGAGTGGTGCGTTGAGGTATATGTGGAGTCAAAAAACGTTATCTATGGAGGCAAAGAAGGGAATGTATGAAAGTATAGTAGTACCAACACTCTTATATGGGTGTGAAGCTTGGGTTGTGAATGCAGCAGCGAGGAGGTGGTTGGAGGCAGTGGAGATGTCCTGTCTAAGGGCAATGTGTGGTGTAGATATTATGCAGAAAATTCGGAGTGTGGAAATTAGGAGAAGGTGTGGAGTTAATAAAAGTATTAGTCAGAGGGCTGAAGAAGGGTTGTTGAGGTGGTTTGGTCATTTAGAGAGAATGGATCAAAGTAGAATGACATGGAGAGCATTTAAATCAGTAGGAGAAGGAAGGCGGGGTAGGGGTCGTCCTCGAAAAGGTTGGAAGGAAGGGGTAAGGGAGGTTTTGTGGGAGAGGGGCTTGGACTTCCAGGAGGCGTGCATGAGCGTGTTCGATAGGAGTGAATGGAGACGAATGGTATTTGGGACCTGACGATCTGTTGGAGTGTGAGCAGGGTAATATTTAGTGAAGGGATTCAGGGAAACCGTTTATTTTTATATAGCCGGACTTGAGTCCTGGAAATGGGAAGTACAATGCATGCACTCTAAAGAAGGGGTTTTGGGATATTAGCAATTTGGAGGGATATGTTGTGCATCTTTATATGTATATGCTTCTAAACTGTTGTGTTTCTGAGCACCTCTGCAAAAGCAGTGATTGTGTGAGTGAGGTGAAAGTGTTGAATGATGATGAAAGTATTTTCTTTTTGGGGATTTTCTTTCTTTTTGGGTCACCCTGCCTCAGTGGGAGACGGCCGACTCGCTGAAAAAAAACAAAAAACATGCATGTGTAGTGTGACTAAGTGAAAGTAGTAGCAGCAAGATGTACGTGAAATTTTGCATGTTTGAGACAAAAAAAAAAGACCCCAGCAATCCTACCATCATATAAAACAATTAAAGGCTTCCATTTTACACTCGCTTGGTAGGACGGTAGTACCTCCCTGGGCGGTTGCTATCTTCCAATATACTCAACTTAAAATATCTTCATCCTTAGCTTATAGTGAGTACTGAATATATTTATTGTAGGAAGTCTGAATAAATGAAGAATGGGTATAATTGAAAACCTCTGCATTAGCAAAGGGCTGTAAAACAGTCCACCTGTAATTTAAAACTGCGGCATTAGCAAAACTCCGTAATGCAAAGTGCTGTAAACCGGGGCCCTCTTTTACTAAATACAGTGTTCTTTCCTTCCTTTACTTTCTTTGTATAATTCAAATTTGTCCAGTCACAGTAAGTTTTTTCCATATATACAGATAGGTTTTATCTCAATTTTTGAGAGAACTTTATCCCCCCCACCCCCACCATGCAGGTCGTGTTGGAGCTCGTAGAGTTGGCGATGTTGAAGGTGTACGTCAGTCTACAGGCAACTGGCAACGGGATCCCAACATAAAATGGAACAGGCGTGTCATTGTTAAGCGACAGAGGTTCTCAGACATTAAACAGTCTATAGAAAGACGAAGACGTTTAGGAGAAATAGAACTTCAACTTTACGAAGAAGAAAGTAAAAAGAAACCAGAACCAATGCGTTCACCAGTTCAGCCACATCATGAATCTGAAAAGAAAATACGCAAGAAACAAAAGAAACAGACTCACTCTTATTCTACCCGATCAGTGAGAGACACAGAAAGAGGCCCTTATGATCATCAGGATTCTGAGGTTAGTATTAAAGCATATTTGGTTAACAGATGGTATATGATTGCAGATTTGGCCCTTGAAAGGTGCTATCATTAAACTATAAATATTCAAGGGTAAAACGTGAAAAATAGTTCCAAATCTTTTTTATTTCCCTAGATACACTGGTTTCTGGTTTTTCTTTAGTTCAAATTATTAGCCTTTCCCAGTTTGGTTTGCAAGTACAAAGTAAGTAGGTAATATATAGTCTGAAGCACAGTGGATTAATTTAGCTACAAATAAAAATAAAATTTTAAGTAGTCTATACTTTTATGACTTACAAAATCGTAATGACACGATTGCAAACAAACAATACCACAGACGGGGATAGAACCCGCGATCAGAGAGTCTCAAAACTCCAGACCGTCGCGTTAGCCACTGGACCAGCTAGCCACAATAAGATTCGTCCAACTAGGTATATTTCTACACCATAAGAAGGTTATCACAGGCACCACTGTGACCACAAATGCAAGTTTTTACAGACGAATCTCCAGCTAGCGTGGCCGGGACGAACTCTAGCTCCAGTCCCCTCAAAACCGTCACAGTGGTGCCTATGGTAACCTTCCTATGGTGTAGAAATATACCTAGTTGGACAAATCTTATTGTGGCTAGCTGGTCCAGTGGCTAACGCGATGGTCTGGAGTTTTGAGACACTCTGATCGCGGGTTCTATCCCCATCCGTGGTATGGGTTCTATACTTTTATACGTGTATTATAATTTAGTTTGATGTGTCCCTTACAGACTAAATATCATGTGAAATAATCTGTGCACTGAATTGTTAGCAAGAGGGTACAATTGAAGTAGACCTAGTAAAAACCCAGGAGGATGGCAGAACCCCTACTCTTCCTTGGGAAAATTGCCCAAAAATTTAATATTTCCTCCATTTACCCCTTTTTTAAGCCATTTCTGGCCTGAAACAGACCAAAATCATATTTTCGCTAGTATATCTTCCAGTCTGTTAATTTAATACCAAGAAGCAGCCAATAAGCCTGCGAAAAGCGCCATAAAACATCTCAAAGTTGCTGTTTTAAATCAAATGAGCTCAGAGATTAGCTGTTCCTATCGTGCACTGCATGAACCAGAATCTTTTTTATACTGTGCACACCCACCACATGTACCCATTCTCTCATGCTTAGGCCAAAATTTACTGATCACAGCATAATTGAGGGCTGGGTGATTATAACATAGATCTGTGAGACAAAGGGTTAAAATCATTTTGGAAATATTTATTAATTATGCTTTTATTTCAGGATGGAGACCATGGTGGTCAGTCTAGTAGCTCAGGAAGTTCTTCAGGCTCAGAAGTGGTCAATGAGGAACTGCAAGAATCATCAAGTTCTGATGAGCAGTCCACAGATTATTCTGACTGGACTGCTGAAGCTGGTATCAATCTGGAACCTCCCAAACGAACCGCTCACAAACAGAAGAAAAGTCCCCGTAGAAGGAAAAAGAAAGGAAAAAGTGGCAGTGAAGAAGATACAAAGCAGAAAGAAAAGGATGAGGATGTTGATGACGATGATGATGATGATGACAAAAACAAAGAAAATGATACCAAAAACATATGGACTACGCCTCGTTCACAAAGAAAGGTGCGAAATGGGATTTTATATACATCCTCTCCTCACTTAATGACTGGGTTCCATTCCTAAGAGTAGGTGGTAAGCAAATTGGTCATTAAGAAAGGAGCATACTATACTTGTAGTGGATTTGTGTCAACCATCTTTAGATATTTTTTAATGTCACCTTTGCACCATTTATAACATTCCTAGTATATTTTTAAATGTTTATACAGTAGTGTACTGTTTACTGTAATAAAAAAGAAAGCAGCTCTAATATACATTACTTAGATTTGCATCCTGGTTGGAGAACTGGTTTTAAGTCTGAGTGGTCGGTAAGAGCACATCACTTAGTGGGGAGAGGCTTATTGGGTGGAATGGACCCAGGATTTGGGGAGGTACTGCAGTCCTGTCATAAGAATGAAATGGAAGTCAGTTGAATGTTTTGCATATTCTTTCTCATTAACATGCTAGATGATGGGTAAGTCTTACAAGCTGCTACTTACATTAATACACTTTATACATTGCTTTTCTGTGATTATCCCCAGAACAATTAATTGATTAACCCTTAAATGGTCCAAACGTATATATACATTTTTTCAACATCTGAAAGTATGTAAAAAAATGTAGATCTTCTTTTTTGTTTTACATTTGAAAACGTGTAAAAAAAACTTTTATCTACATTTTCTTTTTTTTTATATTTGAAAATATGTAAAAAAAAGTAGATCTACTTTTGTAGCACTACGAATTTGAACGTCGATCTGTTTGGACCGTTTAAGGGTTAATACAAAAAGTGAAATATCTTAGCTACACTTAAGTTTAATCATTATCAAGTTATTATCCTAATTTTTCATGTAAGTCTGCTTCTTTTTCACTGACATACTCCAATATAAAGTGACCATTTGATAAGCTCAATAATTTTTTTTTTTTTTATCATCACACTGGCCGATTCCCACCAAGGCAGGGTGGCCCGAAAAAGAAAAACTTTCACCATCATTCACTCCATCACTGTCTTGCCAGAAGGGTTCTTTACACTACAGTTTTTAAACTGCAACATTAACACCCCTCCTTCAGAGTGCAGGCACTGTACTTCCCATCTCCAGGACTCAAGTCCGGCCTGCCGTTTCCCTGAATCCCTTCATAAGTGTTACTTTGCTCACACTCCAACAGCACGTCAAGTATTAAAAACCATTTGTCTCCATTCACTTCTATCAAACATGCTCACGCATGCCTGCTGGAAGTCCAAGCCCCTTGCACACAAAGCCTCCTTTACCCCCTCCCTCCAACCTTTCCTAGGCCGACCCCTACCCCGCCTTCCTTCCACTACAGACTGATACACTCTTGAAGTCATTCTGTTTCGCTCCATTCTCTCTACATGTCCGAACCACCTCAACAACCCTTCCTCAGCCCTCTGGACAACAGTTTTGGTAATCCTGCACCTCCTCCTAACTTCCAAACTACAAATTCTCTGCATTATATTCACACCACACATTGCCCTCAAACATGACATCTCCACTGCCTCCAGCCTTCTCCTCGCTGCAACATTCATCACCCATGCTTCACACCCATATAAGAGCGTTGGTAAAACTATACTCGCATACATTCCCCTCTTTGCCTCCAAGGACAAAGTTCTTTGTCTCCACAGACTCCTAAGTGCACCGCTCACCCTTTTCCCCTCATCAATTCTATGATTCACCTCATCTTTCATAGACCCATCTGCTGACACGTCCACTCCCAATATATCTCTAGGTATCTAGAATTTTAGTTTTCCTTCATCTTTTTTGGAAAGATAATGATTGTGTGAATGATGATTTTTTTTTTTTATGGGGGGAGGGTTACCCTGCCTCAGTGGGAGATGGCCATCTTGTTGGAAAAAATTTTATGAAGACATGGACTTGTACTTAAATTTTTTTTTTTTTTTTTTTTCAACAAGTCGGCCGTCTCCCACCGAGGCAGGGTGACCCAAAAAAGAAAGAAAATCCCCAAAAAGAAAATACTTTCATCATCATTCAACACTTTCACCACACTCGCACATTATCACTGTTTTTGCAGAGGTGCTCAGAATACAACAGTCTAGAAGCATACACATATGAAGATACACAACATATCCCTCCAAACTGCCAATATCCCTAAACCCCTCCTTTAAAGTGCAGGCATTGTACTTCCCATTTCCAGGACTCAAGTCCGACTATATGAAAATAACCGGTTTCCCTGAACCCCTTCACTAAATATTACCCTGCTCACACTCCAACAGATCGTCAGGTCCCAAGTACCATTCGTCCCATTCACTCCTATCTAACACGCTCACGCACGCTTGCTGGAAGTCCAAGCCCTTGCCCACAAAACCTCCTTTACCCCCTCTCTCCAACCCCTTTCGAGGACGACCCCTACCCCGCCTTCCTTCCCCTATAGATTTTTTATGCTTTCCATGTCTTCTACTTTGATCCATTCTCTCTAAATGACCAAACCACCTCAACAACCCCTCTTCTGCCCTCTGACTAATACTTTTATTAACTCCACACCTTCTCCTAATTTCCACACTCCGAATTTTCTGTAAAATATTTACACCACACATTGCCCTTAAACAGGACATCTCCACTGCCTCCAACCGTCTCCTCGCTACTGCATTTACCACCCAAGCTTCACACCCATAAAAAAAGTTCAAAGCCTCTGCAGTAATCATTGGTCCCTAAAAAAAAAAGATTAGCTCATGATGAGGATGACGTTAAATTAGCCCATTGGCTAGCTTAACATCAGTTCCACTGATAAAACAGCATTATGAAAAAATGCATTGTTCACTTTATATCCAAAGAACTAGCCAATACACGTGCAGCTTGCCAGTCTAATATGCATTTAGGAATGTGCTGATGTTATTTATACAATTAGTATTACAGTAATGCAGTAGTCTGCATAATAGTAAATCTTTTATTTTTATATGACTAAAAATTCAAATTGGAAAGCAATTTGTGATTAAGGAACAGAGCAAATGTTTTTTAGTGCCAGGAATGTCTGCATTGTTTATTCTAGACCCTATTCTTAAATTCGCAGATTTTTTAATTTTGTATGATTGGCCAAATTATCAATTTCTAATCACTTTATTGGATAATCGAAGTAGGTAAATGGGGAGTTCCTTGTGCTCAGTTGATAGAATAGATGGAAAACTAGCAAAATAGCTATGAGTTTGGTCCACTGGAACAATGGGCGCAGAGTGAGCGAAATCACATATGCATAAATATTGCCAAAACCTCTTAACTTTGCGAAAGCATAATCCTGTAAGTTTTCCATAAAATTTGTACTTTTGGTTTTATTACGTTCGGAAAAAGATTCTCTATCATTTCATAAGTTTTTTTTTTTTTTTTTTTTTTTTTTTTTTTTTTTTTTTTTTTTTTTTTTTTTTTTTTTTTTTGCCCCCAACAAGCCAGCCGTATCCCATTGAGGCAGGGTGACTGGAAAATATTTTTTTTTTTTTTTTTTTTTTTCCCCAACAAGTCGGTCGTCTCCCACCGAGGTAGGGTGACCCAAAAAAGAAAGAAAATCCCCAAAAAGAAAATACTTTCATCATCATTCAACACTTTCACCACACTCACACATTATCACTGCTTTTGCAGAGGTGCTCAGAATACAACAGTTTAGAAGCATATACATATAAAGATACACAACATATCCCTCCAAACTGCCAATATCCCAAACCCCTCCTTTAAAGTGCAGGCATTATACTTCCCATTTCCAGGACTCAAGTCCGACTATATGAAAATAACCGGTTTCCCTGAATCCCTTCACTAAATATTACCCTGCTCACACTCCAACAGATCGTCAGGTCCCAAGTATCATTCGTCTCCATTCACTCCTATCTAACACGCTCATGCACGCTTGCTGGAAGTCCAAGCCCCTCGCCCACAAAACCTCCTTTACCCCCTTTTTTCCAACCCTTTCGAGGACGACCCCTACCCCTCTTTCCTTCCCCTATAGATTTATATGCTTTCCATGTCATTCTACTTTGATCCATTCTCTCTAAATGACCAAACCACCTCAATAACCCCTCTTCTGCCCTCTGACTAATGCTTTTATTAACTCCACACCTTCTCCTAATTTCCACACTCCGAATTTTCTGCATAATATTTACACCACACATTGCCCTTAGACAGGACATCTCCACTGCCTCCAACCGTCTCCTCGCTGCTGCATTTACCACCCAAGCTTCACATCCATATAAGAGTGTTGGTACTACTATACTTTCATACATTCCCTTCTTTGTCTCCATAGATAACGTTTTTTGACTCCACATATACCTCAACGCACCACTCACCTTTTTTCCCTCATCAATTCTATGATTAACCTCATCCTTCATAAATCCATCCGCCGACACGTCAACTCCCAAGTATCTGAAAACTTTCACTTCTTCCATATATATATATTCCATATATATATATATATATATATATATATATATATAGTATCTTATATATTGTGTTTTAGTTAAGTGACTAAAATAAAAGAAAGAAATGAACCTCCCATCCCAATCACTGAAAATTCAGTACAGTACTAATTCCTACAATTTTTTCTCTAATGTTGCTGGGACAGTGGACCAGAGTTAATGTGGGATGGAAATCTTGCTTTATTGCACAACAGTTGAGCATGTATAGTTCTTTATACTCCTAATAATTTTGCCTTGTGTATTGTACCATTGTATTCTTGTTAATTTTCAAACCCATTTTGAAGTTCCACTGTTATAACCTTAATTTTGAGGGTAACTAGTTTTTTCTATTGTTAAATAAAATTTCTTTTTTTCCTGTAAATAATCTTTATCACAAAGTTATGTATGATCATTATATCCACAGCGAGGACCAAGGCCCAACCTTTCAGAAATTGGTGGAGGTGCTGATGAAATTCCTGAGGAGTTCCGACCACCAGAATGGTTAACCGAAACCTTTCCCAAGAAAGCTCCATATTTCCCACAAATGGGTGATGAACTTATATATTTTATGCAAGGCCACATGCTCTATGTAGAAGCTGTTATGAACAGAAAACTGTATAATGTGGATAAGCGGAGTTTGCCATGGATGAGATCTACAAATAAACTCAGGGTAAGTATTTTAGGTTTATTTGATAGTACATATTTAAACATACTCCCAGGATGATGGTATACTGTATAATAGATTGTGTGAAAACTACTATGAATGTTTGTGGCTTGAAGATTCGTGGAGCATCTGTGAGCATGTTAAATTAGAATAAGTTAAGATGAGATGTCTAGAATTTGACATTCCGTTGGAGTTTGTACTCGCCTGTATGTATTTGTAAGTGCATGGTTACAGAAGTCCAGTCTTAGCTCCTAGCAACACTTTGCAACTTGAAGCTTGCCAGTCTCACTCCTAGCTTCATGGGCCCTGTTATACCTATTCTTAAAACTATATGGAAAAACTTACTTGTTAGACTCCCATTTTTGAGGTGGGAAGTGTAATACATTCACTGGGAAAGCCTGGTGGATATGTTGGGGTCTGGTGGGTCATTGTTGGATCCTGCTGTCTTTTCCTCTTTGGAAAACAAATAAGCAGCAGAGGTATACAACAAGGCCTATTCCTGAGCTAAGGGACATGAACTGAGGAGAGGCTGGCGGAAGACATGCAAACAGTATACAAACTACTCGGGGAAATTGATAAAGAAGACAGAGGCTGTTTGAGAGGATGAGAAAGAGGAACTCAGGGATACTGTTGGAGGTTAGAATCACAGGGATGTTAAGGAGTATTTCTTCAGTCTGAGTGGTTGGGAAATGGAATAATTTTGGTGAGGAGGTAGCCAAGCAAGCCGAACTTGAGTCCTGGAGGTGGAAGGTACAGTGCCTGCGCTCTGAAGGAGTGCAAGGTAGATGGACAAGGTAGATTATAGTGGAGAAATGAACATGTTATTAGAAGATGGGGCAACTTACGTGGCCCTTAAAAGGTTGGGCATGATACATGTATGTTAAATGAAAATTGGAACATTCAGTAGTGATATGGTGCCTGCACACTAAAAAGATGGACAAAGAGTAGTAGTTCAAAGAAGCAATGCAAAATGGCCACTGTGCCTATATAAATAAGCTAGGAGGAAAGGCTGAGAGCATAAGACGTATTCTTATTGGCTTCAAGGGACAAGAGGAGATGTAAACACAAGCAAGATTACAGATTTACACATTTTTAATGGATATAGGAGGAGGTGCGGGATTACCAAAACTGTTGTCCAGAGGGCTGAGGAAGGGTTGTTGAGGTGGTTCAGACATGTAGAGAGAATGGAGTGAAACAGAATGACTTCAAGAGTGTATCAGTCTGTAGTGGAAGGAAGGCGGGGTAGGGGTCGGCCTAGGAAAGGTTGGAGGGAGGGGGTAAAGGAGGTTTTGTGTGCGAGGGGCTTGGACTTCCAGCAGGCATGCGTGAGCGTGTTTGATAGGAGTGAATGGAGACAAATGGTTTTTAATACTTGATGTGCTGTTGGAGTGTGAGCAAAGTAACATTTATGAAGGGATTCAGGGAAACCGGCAGGCCGGACTTGAGTCCTGGAGATGGGAAATACAGTGCCTGCACTCTGAAGGAGGGGTGTTAATGTTGCAGTTTAAAAACTGTAGTGTAAAGGACCCTTCTGGCAAGACAGTGATGGAGTGAATGATGGTGAAAGTTTTTCTTTTTCGGGCCACCCTGCCTTGGTGGGAATCGGCCAGTGTGTTAATAAAAAAAAAAATAGAAAATACAGGATAAAATGCACTGGGTCATTTGATTTGGAAATAAGGGGCAAAGTCCACTGGTTAGTTATTGTTATTTTTTTTCAGTCACGGCAAAATAATATCATCTCCAGCCACCGTAGTCTCTATTGCCAGCCACCTGCTCCTTCCGTATTAGTCTGTTTCATTGATGGTTTACTTTAAAAGCTAGCTTTCCTCACCACCAACGGGGAGAACAAGAAGCCATAGCTGTAAATCAAGGAATAATAAGTTTCCAAACAGATCGTAAAGGGCTGTTTGACCCCTCAGAGTAATAGAACAGTAGAGCGAGTTACAAGAGACAATAGTGAGTGCTACAACCACCAGAAATTTTCAAATATTTTGTAGATGTAGTACTGAAGATGGGATGCAATAAGCTTTGCTCTGCTGTTATGAATGGGTACATAATTACACACTATATATATTTATGATTTTTTTCCTCTTCCATTACAGTTTATTGATTGGCATAAGTAAGAGAGAGAACTAAAATTATATTGTGTATGTCAACATAACAAGATTAGGTCCAGATAAGAAGTCATTTTATAATTCATGAACTGTAAAAGAAAACTTGAAAAACGATAAGAATTTTCTTACCAGTACTGGTTATCTATTGAATGTTAAATGTTTAAAAATTATTTTTGGTTTAATCAGGGCTTTTAATATCCTGCCATTTTTATTTTTCCAACCTCTTGAATTATTACAGTAAGCATGTTTTCCTAGATAAATATATTTCTTTCAATACTTTTTCAGCACCAAGAATTCGTTAAGATAATTGGCATCAAATACGAAATTAAACCACCACGGTTGTGCTGTCTGAAGTTGGGTATCTTGGAAGTTGGCAGGGGAAAGTTAACATCAGATTCCTTCACTATCAAATATCATGACATGCCTGATGTACTTGACTTCTTAATACTAAAGGCTACATATGATGTTGCTGTTAGGAGACAGTGGAGGCCAGGTAAGTTCATACAAAAATACCTCCATATTTAGCATGTGTGTTTGAGCTACAAATGAGATGGAACAAGAGAGAATGAAAGTCAGCACAGTTCTCAGGTGTGGATGATACCCTTGTGCTGACTTATTCAAAATAGGAACTGGGTAGAAGCAGGCTATGTGCTAAGGATGTTTTTAGGCACAATGAGCAGTGTCTAGATTAAATGCCATTAAATAAAATGTTGAAGTGTTGGCTTCTTATTAAACAAGTGTTTGAATGAGAGATTCTTTTGCCTGATCATTATTTAGAAATAGCAATCCAATGGTTCCCAACGTTTTTTTGCACCGTTCCCCACCTCGACACTTCAAAAAATTTGATGTCCTCCAAGGTATAAATACAAATTTAGTTGTTGAAAAGCATAATATTGGGTAAACACAGTACGACAAAATTAAATTTACTGTAACTTTTTTCAAATTGCTCCCCAAAACCTTCAAATTGCCCTCCCCTCCACCCCCTGTGGGGTATATGCCCCACTTCGGGAATCTCTGAGCTAGACTAAGCAGAATGTAAAATGCAAGTACAGTACAAGGATGCAATTTTTTTTTAAAGACACCTAGATTCTCTTATTTAAATCTTGTAATGCTTATGATACATGAAATGTTGGTAGGTAGTACTAGAGAGCTTAGGACATGCTAAAAATTTGAAATTCTGGCAAAAATAGGAAGTCATATCCTTGAAGTAGGTAAAAGGCAGACATTACTTTGAAGTAGCTGGAGTAAGGGGTCTTTATTTTTAAGTAACTAGAGTAAGAAGGTCTTTATTTTTAAGTAAGGGAAGACAATGCAGTGAGGCGATGACTAAGTGAAAGGTGATAAGTCATTGTACTGAAGAAATTGACCAAGTGAAGAATATAAAAGTTAAAAAAAAAAAAATGTTGGTTAATGAGATTACTAATTTTCAGGTATTGGAGCAGACTTCATAGTTTCATTTTCAGTGTTTACCTTGTCTTAGTTTTTCAAAGTTATCTGGCTGTAGCACTCACTAAATCTTGTAAATCATTCTGTTGTTGTAACATAATAGTGTATAACTTTTCAGCAGCTTTCCTTAGTTTGTAATTACGAGTGCCTTGTTTTGCCAGCTATGTAGTGGTATTAAGACATCTTCCTTGTCAGTTCTTTCCTATCCTTTTATGATCTTGAATGCGATGATCGTGCCTTCTTTTTTCTTCCAATTGATCAAAAAAATCATTTCCAGTGCTTTCAGCCTTTCTTCATAACTCGTATGTGTTAGCTCTAGAGGCTATTTTGTAGCTCGTCTTTGCCGTTTTTTTTTTTTCTTAAGGTGCGCAAACAGTGCCACCACTGCATTTCCAGTTTGATTTTCCACGTCATTATGATGCTGTCCCTCAAGGGTAATTTTTATTTTTGGGAAAAGAGAGGAGTCACAGGGGGCTAGATCTGGGGAGTAGGGAGGGTGGAGAAAAAACCACCATGTTGGTTTTGGCTAGACTACTTGGGGCTGGCAGTACCATGTGAGGAACATTATCATGATGAATGAATCAATTGTTGGACATCATGAGTGAGGGGTTGGATTTCAGTGGGACTTGCACGTGAGTGGATAGTTATCGAAGCTTATTGCTAGGGTAGCATTTATTCTGTTAGTGGGTTGGATTTGTGAAGGACTTGCCTAGTATGGGCCAACAGGCCTAATGCAGTTTTCTTCCTTTATGTTCAGTGACATCAGGACATTTCTATCTCGTGTCTTCCCTCAGACATCTCAGAACCTTGATGTAAAAGTTTTGGTTAACTGTCTGCCTTGGAGTAAATACCTGAAGAACAATTCCCACTTGAAAAAAAAAAAATGCTATTCACATTGCTTTTGAGTTACTGTGTCCTTTTTGGCCTGGGTGAGGTGGAGCTTTTTCATTGAGAAGACTGAAGCATATACAGTGGTCCCTCAATTATCGTCCTTAATCCATTACTGGAAGTGGGACTCATTATCGAAATAGACGATTTTCGAATCAATTTTCCCCATAAGAAATAATGTAAATCCAATTAATTCATTCCAGACACCCAGAAGTATCAACAACAATTTTTTTTTTTACCTAAAAGATAGATTTACATGCACAAAAGAATGAACATTCAACATGACAGTTACCTTTATTGAAGGTTGTTGATGAATGGAAAGGACAGGGGGGGGGAAGAGGGGGAAAGAGGGTTTTTTGGGAAAGGGGAAAAACCCCCCCCCAAAGGGGATCGAGGGCCAAAATAAAATGTAAAAAAGGGAAACTTTGGGGTAATGGGGGTTTGGGTTAAATGAGGGAAACGGTTCTCCCTTAGTAGGGTAAATCGAAGCAAAAAAAATTGGGTGGTTTAAAAATTTGGGTTGGGAAAAATTTGGTTTGGGGCCCTTCCGCAAGGTGCATGAGCGTGTTAGATAGGAGTTAAAGGGAGACGAATGATACTTGGGCCCCTGACGATTGTTGGAGGGGGTGAGCAGGTTTAATTTTTTGGGAAAGGGGATTGGGGAAAAACCAGTTATTTTCATTATAGGGGGAAATTGAGCCCGGGAAAAAGGGGAAAAGTACAATGCCGCACTTTTAAAGGGGGGGTTTTGGGTTTGGCCCGGGGTTTGGGGGTTTGTTGTGTGTCTATACGTGTATGTTCAAAAATATTGTTTTTTTTGGGAGCACCTCTGAAAAAAACAGTGATAGTGTGGGTGAGGTGGTGTGTGTTTTGAATGATGATAAAAAGTTTTTTCCCTTTTTGGGGTTTTTTTTATTTTTTGGGGGTCACCCTGCCTCGGGGGGGGGGAGGGCCGATTTTTTTAAAAAAAAAAAAAAAAAATTACAGAGTGAGAGGGGTTGGATTTGGTTTTGCCCTTGCACCTGAGCTTTTTGCTTGGGAGCATTTGTTCTTTTATTTGGGTTTGGGGATTTGGGGAAGGGACCAGCCTATTTTGGGGAAAAAAGGGCCCCTTCTGCGTGTTCCTCCTTTTTATTTCTTTTAAAGGGAGGGTTTGTGTGAGGGGGGATAGTAATTTTTATTTTTGGGGGAAAAAACATGACACTAATATAAACTTTTCGGCTTATCTTCTTTTAACTTTTAAATAATTTGACACAAAAAAACAATTTTTTAATAACAAAGAAACATGGAATATATTCTAGAAGGGAATAAAATAAGCCCATACGTTTCCCTTTAAAAGGTTTGTTGTTTTTTTGTTGTTGGGTATATAAGGGTACTGAGAGAAACCCGTCCAAAATTGGTGGGGAAGCAGCGCTGAGGCGCGGTGTTTTTTCTGTAGCCCCCCCTATAAAATACCAAAAAATTGGAGGATTTGGGTTTAAAATTGTGAATTATTTAAAAAAGGGCCCCCTATACCACCATAAATACCACCTTTTCCCACTATTAAAAACTTTTTTAACCCACAACTTTATTTCCTTCTCCCCAAATTACAACTTTTTACCACCTTTCACTACTACTTTCTACCCCATAATTACCACCCTTTTCCCCCCATAAACCCAAATATAACAACCCGGGCCTTCCACTTTTCCACCACCCCCAAACCACCCCAAACCTTTGTTTTTTTTCAAACAAATTTTTTCTTTAAATTTTATGTGTGTTTTCTAAATTTTCTTTCCCAAAAGGGGTTTTGGCACTAGAAGCTTTTTTTTGAGCCATGGTAGCTTTTTTTTAGCACTTGAAAAGCGTTTAAAAATAAAGGGAATATTATGAAAAATTATTTCGTAGGAAAAAAGGGTGGGGGGGACCGTCCCCTCACGGGTTTTAAGCGGGGGGCCACCAGGGCCGGAAATTTACCGCTGGGCCCAAACTAGGCATTTGCCTGGGGCCCGCGTTTTTGGGGGCCCCCCCGGGGTTTCCAAAAGGGGTTCGGGGGTTTCATCCAAGATTGGGGTCCCCCCCGGGGTCCCTACCAAAAAAATTTCCCGTGTTTGGAGAGTAAAATTGTTTTTTAAAATTAATCAAAAAAAAAATAAATAATGAAAATAAAATAAAAAAAAAAATTTAAACCTAACCATAGGGGCCCAACACTCACCGCCTTTTTTTAAAATCGAACGCTGTTTTTTCCCACAAATTGGGGGGAAGTAGGGGGAAAAATTCCCCCTCAATTTTTGTATTTAATTAAAATTTTATCTAAAATTGCACTTTTAAAAATTTAAACTGAAGTGTTTTTGTTTAAAACTTTGATTGTATGGATAAATTTTTTGTTTTCGCCTCTAATTTTAAAAGGGAGGTCCCGGTTTGGGTTACTTGACCAAAAAAGCATTTTTGGGTTAAAAATAATAAAAAGGGAAAAACCAAAAAACTCAAAGACTTCCTTTTTGTGGGTTTTTAAAAAGCACTTTGTCTGTTTTTAAAGTCTTTACCATTTAAATAAAAAACCAGTTTCTAAATTTGGGTTTGATGTTTTTTAAAATTCATTTCCGTCGAAAAATTTGTTTTGGTTTTCAAGTTGGGGCCCGGAAAGTGTTGTAAAACATAAATTAAATTTTAAATACTTTTTTCCCCGGGAAAACCCCAAAAAAGCCACATCGGGAAAATCGTTGGTTGGGGGTTAAAACTAAAAATTGTCCCTGCTTTTTTTTAAATTCTCATGCCCTTATTTTATGGGGGAAAGGCCATATTCATGCAAACAAAATTTGTTTTAGTTTAGTTATGAAAAGGGTTTAAAATATAAATACCTTTTGGGCCCTTGGGTTTTGGACTCAGTATGTTTTCTGTTTTAAGTAAATTGGGGTCAAGGGGGATGAATTAGTAAAATATTCGTTCCCCAAATCCTAACATTTAATTCTAGGGTAAAAGTTCTGTAATGACTCCTTTCTGGTAACGTTTTGGAATTTTTTAAAGATGCGCACCCAGAGGAAAGGGGGTAAAAGGGGCCCATATCCCCCAATTGACAGAAAATTTTTTTAAAAATTAAAAAAATTTTAAAAAAATAATTGATAATGAAAAATTTGTATTTCCCATGATTAAGAGAGTGATAATCCCCCTTTAAATGGCATT